CGGCCAGGTGTGGCGCGGCGTCTGGCAGGGCGATCACGTGGCCGTCAAGATCTTCTACTCGCGCGACGAGGCGTCCTGGACCCGCGAGACAGAGATCTACAGGTGAGCTCGGTCAGCTCTCCTCTGCTGGGGAGATGAGAGCGGATATGGACCTGGACCCGCGAGATCGAAATCTACAGGTGAGCTGGGCCAGGTCTCCCCTGCTGGGGAGCTGAGAGCAGAGATGGACCTGGACCCGCAACCGAGATCTACAGGTACTCGGCCAGATCTCCTCTATGAACGCTACCAGGCGAAAACAAACAGCTGATGGAAACAAGGCGCTATGAGACATAGACCATTGCATTACTGCTGCAGTGCATATAGCGTACATATTTTGGATAAATGATATATTACTTGCGTTTGGAATGGCGCGCATTAGAAGTGAACAGTACGCTGACTTCGGTACATGCGTCCGAGCACATGCCATTGATCTTGTTTCGCTTGTTTGCCTCTGTTTCATCGTCTTTGTGTTGTTGGTGAGCTTGAATGAGCTGCCCGTAATCCAGTGTTATTTGCTCCCCTTCTCCTCCACCAGACAGCTAGTCATCATATACTGCGAAACCGCTGAATGTTCCACAAACTGACAGGAAGCATTGCAAGTACAAACACCGGGCATCCTTTTTGTTTTCTTGTTTTCTTGACCAGGCTGGGGTCGATCTGTGCTTTCTGCCTGCCAGCCGTGTTGTCCGTGGCCGCAGCGATGGCGCCACCTGAACAACACCAGCGGGGAGTGTTGAGTGGGGCGGCCGCCACTGTGCGGCGCTGCTCTCAGGGCCGGGCGGCGTCCGCTCGCCTGACGCCCGTTACCCCCGTGCCCCGCTGCCGGCAGCACCGCCATGCTGCGCCACGCCAACATCCTGGGCTACCTGGGCTCGGACATGGCGTCGCGCAACTCGTGCACGCAGCTGCTGCTGGTGGCGCACTACCACCCGCTGGGCTCGCTATACGACCACCTGAACCGCCAGACGCTCACGCTCGACCACTGCCTGTTGCTGCTCATCTCGGCCGTTAACGGACTGAATCACCTGCACTCGGAGCTGCACGGCACGCAGGTGAGCCGAGGGCACGACGGAGCATCGCGCCCGAGGGACGGCGGCGGCTGTGGTGATTCCCAGAGGGACGGCGGCGGCTGTGACGGCTCCCAGAGGGACGGCGGCGGCTGTGGTGGCTCCCAGGGGGATGGCGGCGGCTGTGGTGGCTCCCAGGGGGACGGTGGAGGCTGTGGTGGCTCCCAGAGGGACGGCGGCGGCTGTGGTGACTCCCAGAGGGACGGCGGCATCTGTGGTGGCTCCCAGGGGGACGGTGGCGGCTGTGTGGTTCCCAGGGGGACGGCGGCGGCTGTGATGGCTCCCAGAGGGACGGCGGCGACTGTGGTGGCTCACAGGAGGACGGCGGCGGCTGTGATGGCTCTCCGGGGGATGACGGCGACTGTGGTGGCTCTCCGGGGATGACGGCGACTGTGGTGGCTCACAGGAGGACGGCGGGCGGCTGTGATGGCCCTCCGGGGGATGACGGCGCTGTGATGGCTCCCCGGGGGATTACGGCGGCTGTGATGAACTCTCCGGAGGATGATGTGAAGGACTATCTTTACATCGGACGGCCTCGTTATGTCTATTGGTGGCATGGTAGAAATACTCTGCAAATAATTTTACTGTCAAGGTTTTGAGCACTATCTCAGTTTTCGGTGACGTGTGACGAAGAAAGCGTTCATTGTCCAGGCGCCAGCCATACTGGCGGGAAATACGATCCTAACTGCGCTGGGCAGTGCGACTCGTGCAACTAAGTCACGGTGAAAATAGAGGCTGTCCCTGATTGTCATCCCTGATCGAAACTGTCCCTGATTTTCCTGGATCTCCCCCAACAGTGTTTGTTCGTATGGTGTGTGGTGGTGTCCGTTCGTCAGTTCGACACATGCGTGTTTGTGTCCAGGGCAAGCCGGCGATCGCGCACCGGGACATCAAGACCAAGAACATCCTGGTGAAGAACAACGGCGAGTGCGTGATCGCCGACCTGGGCCTGGCCGTCACGCACCGCCAGGGCCACATCGACCTGGGCAACAACCTGCGCGTCGGCACACGCCGCTACATGCCGCCCGAGGTGCTGGACGAGAGGTGAGAACACGGACACCCGGCGTTGCATGCCGCCCGAGGTGCTGGATGAGAGGTGAGAACACGGACATCCGGCGTCTTACGCAGATCGAGGTGTTGGACGAGAGGTGAGAACACGGACACCCGGCGTTACGTGCTGCCCGAGGTGCTGGACGAGAGGTAAGAACACGGACACCCGGCGTTACATGCCGCCCGAGGTGCTGGACGGGAGGTGAGAACACGGACACCCGACGTTACATGCCACCCGAGGTGCTGGACGAGAGGTGAGAACACGGACACCCGGCGTTGCATGCCGCCCGAGGTGCTGGACGGGAGGTGAGAACACGGACACCCGGCGTTGCATGCCGCCCGAGGTGCTGGACGAGAGGTGAGAACACGGACACCCGGCGTTGCATGCAGATCGAGGTGTTGGACGAGAGGTAAGTTACAACCGATGAGACGTGGGCACCTGGTGGTTTAGTTTTCAGGTGTTTCGTTTTCTCGTCTCCATCCTGGATCAGACGCCTCGCCGCTGTACTCATCCCTGGTCGTCCTGCCCGACAGCATCAACAAGGAGTCGTTCGAGTCGTTCCTCAAGTCGGACATGTACGCGTTCGGCCTGGTGATGTGGGAGGTGACGCGCCGCTGCTCGTCCAGCGGCCGGGCCGAGCCGTACCGACCGCCCTACCACGACGTCGTGCCGGCCGACCCGGGCTTCGACGACATGCGCAAGATCGTATGCGTTGACCAGCACCGACCGGTGATCCCAAACCACTGGTCCGGACACCCGGTCAGTGGGGCGACGCAGGAGGACCTGCGGTGGGAAGGGCGGGCTGCGGACACCCGGTCAGTGGGGCGACGCAGGAGGACCTGCGGTGGAGAGGGCTGGCTGGGGTCCGGACACCCGGTCAGTGGGGCGGCGCAGGAGGACCTGCGATGGGGAGGGCGGGCTGGGGTCCGGACACCCGGTCAGTGGGGCGACGCAGGAGGACCTGCGGTGGGGAGGGCGGGCTGGGGTCCGGACACCCGGTCAGTGGGGCGGCGCAGGAGGACCTGCGGTGGGGAGGGGGCGGGCTGGGGTCCAGACACCCGGTCAGTGGGGCGACGCAGGAGGACCTGCGGTGGGGAGGGCGGGCTGGGGTCCGGACACCCGGTTAGTGGGGCGACGCAGGAGGACCTGCGGTGGGAAGGGCGCGCTGGGATCCGGACACCCGGTCAGTGGGGCGACGCAGGAGGACCTGCGGTGGGGAGGGCGGACTGGGGTCCGGACACCCGGTCAGTGGGGCGACGCGGGAGGACCTGCGGTGGGAAGGGCGGGCTGGGACCCGGACTTCTGGCCGGTGAGGCGACACAGGACGTGGGCCGGGGAGGGAGAGGGCGTCGCTCCCCATAATGGTTCGGACGACCGACCGATGCCGATGTTCGTGGGCATTGTTCTGTGCTGACTGAAGTTAACTGTGCAAGGCCATGAGCAATCAGCAGGCAACCTTTCGATCCATCCGCCCATTGCGCTTGAGTAGCAGTGTTTTGGTTCTAAACCTTCAGTCCAGGCTGCTAAAAAGCTAGGCATGTTCCCAGCAATTGATTAGTCATGACGCGTATCACAGCTGAATGTATTCCTAGCTATTGATCAATCATGACCCTCATCACAGCTGTATATATTCCCAGCAATTGATCAATCATGACTCCATCACAGCTGTATGTATTCCTAGTCACTGATCAATCATGACCCTCATCACAGCTGTATATATTCGTAGCTATTCGTTAATCATGACCCTCATCACAGCTGTATGTATTCCTAGCCATCGATCAGGCATGCCTCTCATCACAGCTGGATGATGATCAGCCATTGATCAATCATGACCCTCATCACAGCTGGATGTATGCCTAGCCATTGATCAATCATGACCCTCATCACAGCTGTAGGTATTCCTAGCCATTAGTCAATCATGACCCTCATCACAGCTGGATGTATTCCTAGCCATTGATCAATCGTGACCCTCATCACAGCTGAATGATGATCAGCTATTGATCAATCGTGACCCCCATCACATTTGGATGTATTCCTAGTCATTGATCATTAATTGTCTTCATGGCAGCTGTATGTATTCCTAGCCATTTATCAATCATAACCCTCTGCACAGCTGACAGAGGCAGTTGCGATACTAAGGACTGGGTGCAGCCAGTTATATATGCTGGTAAGAGAGATACCCCGACACGGCTGTGCGACCCCTGCAGTGTGTACTGCGGTCCTGTCGAGTGTGTTGCGTCCTCTCAACCCGATAGCGTGCGTGTCACTTGATCCAGACCGCAGTCTGGCGTGGTCCGCTTGACCTGACATCGTGGGCATCTTATTACCCTGAACGTCGACTTGACCTCAGCGGGCCGTGTCTCGTGACCCTGACCGTTGCTCGCCGCGGCTCGGCCCTGACCCCACACCGCGAGTGTTCTCGACCCCTGACCCGCTCCTCCACCCGCTGGTCGGCCTGACCTGACGCCGTGCTGGGCCCGTGACCTGACCGTCGCTGGCCGCGGCCCGCCGGCAGACTCTGGTCGGCATGGCCAAGCTGATGAAGGAGTGCTGGCACCACAGCGCCATGGTGCGGCTGACGGCGCTGCGGCTTAAGAAGTCCCTCGTCCGCCTAGAGGGCGCCATCAAGCCGGCCAACAACAAGGTGGACCTGTAGCGGCCGCGCCGACGCGCCGCCGCCGGGGCTCCGGCGCGGAAGTACCGAAGAGGCTGCCCTCTGGCGGCGGACGGCGCGCGTCGCCGCGTCATCAGCGCAGAGGTACCGGGAGATGCTGCCATCTGGTGCCGGACGGCGCCAGCAGGCTCGCTGGCCGCCGTCGGCCCGCTGCTCCTCTGGCGGGCTGGCTGTGGGCACGTTTACCGATGGACGGGCTGTACGTCCGCTGCATGTCTACGTAACGTGTGAATATGCCGATTTTTGTACATGTGCCTTACCGCGCGCGAGCCGTTGGTGAGACTTCGCCGGTTTTGTAAGTGGACAAGCGCGCAAGTGAAGCTTTGTAAGTATGCGCGCCATTCGAGCGTGCCGCTTGTGAGACGGCGCCGGCCGCGGGTGCCGGTCCCTTCGCGAGGCTGGCGTGTGGTGGCCCCACCCGCGCTCTGCTGGAGTCGGTCGCAGTGCCGAGGTGCGGAGGGCGCTGAGCGTGCTCGGGGTTTCGTGCGGCGGCTCGAGTGCCTGGTGAAGGCCGTCAGATGCCGGCCACGGCGCGCCGGCCTCGGGCTGCGGCCCGCCGCAGGTGGCGGCGGGGTTGCTGCGGTCGCCACTGTGGTGGCGGGACCAGGACAGTGCGCTCCCATGCGACTCCGAAGAAATCGGTGCCTTGTGGCGGCGAGGTGCCAAATGGTACGGCACATCTGAGTCCGCCGCGCATGAACGCTGCTCCAGTCACTGAAGCCGCCGACCTCAGCCATGAGTCTCAACGAGCTTCGAACCGCGCTGTTCTGAGGACCACCAGGACCCGGAACTGCTCCTCAAACGGTGTCCTCTCGGCGTAGCGTCGGGCCCCAGGCGGGCCCATCCCGCTGGATCTCCAGCCGCCGGCTGCCGCTGTACGCTGATGCCTACACCCCTTACAAACCACCGTAGCAGCCAGGTAGTTGCTAGTGTCTCGTGTCGAATGTGTCGATGCCACTGTGCCGTAGGCACGTTGCATGTTCGGGGCCGTACGAAGGTGTGAGATCCATGGCGTTTTCTCGCGGCGCCTTGTTGGTCACTGTGGCTTCACACATTGTGCCATACGTGAAAGTCTCCCTGATAGCCGTTTTAGTTGTGCGCTGTAGTCGTAGACTGGACATTAGCCGCCGCGTACGTCGCGTGGTTTGTTTGCTTCCTTGCTATTAGCGCTGTATGCAGGCGTATGGTTTTGTGGGTCGAGGCCGCATGCACCATTAGAATATGCCGTTGGTGCGATTGCATTCTTGCCGTGTGACAGGCACACTGCTACCAAGAGTGCAAAACCACGCTTGTGATCCGTCAGCCGCTGTCTGTGAGGTGTCGGCGACCGTACACGTACCGTTGGTAGGTGCCACGAGCACGATACGCACGAGACCAATCGCATGCCTTGAACAGGGTGACGTCACCGGCCTTGCTCCACGTGCCGCGTTCTCCCAGCGGGAGTCTGCACGTTCCGTTCGGTTGCGCTGAAATGTGATGTGGTCGGCTTGCTCTGCTGCCGGTCCTCCGTACCCGATCTGTCGGTCTCTGGCCCTGCATGTGTGTTTGTTCCGCCGTGATGTCCTCCGGGCCCGGCCTTGTTACGCTCGCGGTCCGTCTGGCCGCTCTGTGCGTGCCGCTGCGCCGGCGCGTGAGCCGTCAGCCCCGCGCGTCGGCGTGGCCCCTGGTGGCGTCGCCCGGACCGCGTCCCCCGAGTGCCGCTGTGTGTCCCGCCGGGCTTGTTTCGGTTTCGGATAGCGGCGCCAAGTTCGGAGCTGCGAACGCGCTGTGTCCGCCCGCAGGCCCGGTGCCGGTCTGCTTCGCTGTTGACGTGCAGCAGCCCAGCTTTCTCGTAACGACTAACATGCCAGAGAGGAAACTGCACGTTTCGACGGGGTATTGCTCCCACTCCACTTTGATGAAAATATGAGGCCATCTATTTTTGCTGGAGCGTAGACTAGCCGCTGTAGATAGTGCAAGCCGTGGGATCAGCGTAGTTAGCATCGCACTTGGTGCGAGTTAACTACTTAACGGGCGTTGAAGGATGTGACGTGTGTTGGTCGATTGAAGCGTCGGTCGTTTCCGAAATATTGCAAACGTTTTGAATGTGGTACTTCTTGCTGTCGGTGCCGATTACGAACGTTTTGGCCAAGAAATCTCGTGTGCATCGTACGCGCTTATTCGTGATGAGGTCTCTTGTGTGCGACTGCCCTTGTAGGCTACCGAGGAATGTTTTGTACTGGAGATGGGAATCAAGATGTGAAATTGCATTTGCCAAATGTGTCTTACCTGTTGAAACCGGCGGAAGTTATTATGACGTTTGTTCGTTTGTCTTGGTTGAACTGATGCCTGGAATCACGCTGATGGGAAGTACAATTAAGTAGACAGGTGTGAAAGATGCAAGCAACATGAAACATGACTTACGTAATTTGTCGTACGTGGTGCGTATATGAAGTGTTTTGTATGTTCATTTATTGTGTTTTTACACTGGCTTGATTTGCTTTGCCTTCCAGACCAAAAAAATGGCCAGATGCTTGCAGGGAGCTATGAATAAGCGCAATAAATCGAGCAGAAACTAATGCTGGTATGGTATTGAGGCCATGGTCGATTGCCTCGCCTGAGGTATGCGCTATGGTAATCTTTTAGAACGGCTGCTCATAAGCCATCGACGTTTTTGTTTTGGGCGGCTCTGTTGCGAGCCTCCGCTCTCAGCCACCGACTGGGAGACTGTCGGCGGCGTCCAGGGTTTGGTGTAACCTGAAGCTGTCTGTGTATCTGCGCGCCAGAGCCAAAGGCTGGTGGTTCGCTTCGTGCCGAATAAGGAACTGCAGGATGGACGCCTGGACAGGCGCCGGTCCCGAGCAGCCCCCGTCCGCGGTCAGGCTGCCGCCAACGCTCCGCTGCTGAATCACGCCGATGCTGGCGCCCGACGCCTAAACAAGCCTCCGGGCTGTGCCTGAACACGGAGCCACTTTTACCTAAGAGACATCGCCAGCCAACAAGAAGGACTTGTGTTGTCTGGGGTGTTGTACGCTCGGGGTGGGCTAGCACCGCTGCGAAGTCGCGTGTTATTCATCCAGAGCATTTGGGGTTTAGGCGGGTGGGGGAGGTAGGTTACTGCGGTGATCATGAATGGCAATATTGTCAATTGTGGTGCGCTTTCGTAAGTGTCTGCAAAAGGTGTTAAGGAAACTCTGTCAGAAAGGGTTTGTGTGCTTGCTCTTAACATATCCTTGCCATGAGCAAAAGAAGCCTCAAATTCTTGTTCTTTCGGCATGGTGGGTTATATGAGGTTTATGGGCAAAATGGTTGACTTGCGTTAAAGCTGGGGTACTGGTTAAACGAAATGTCAATCTGAAACAATCACTGAAATATATTATTAGAACGTCGAACACTGCGCGACCTTACGAAGCCTGTCGACATAGCCGTCTTTGTTTTGCATAACCCTTACCCTAAAAACGCGCATTGGGCGGAAGGATGTAGGAGCCTGGAAGATGCGTTATACTGATCTCTATTGGCAGGTGCTGCACGGGCTCAAACGCTTCCTGAATCGACCGCCTTAGGTCTTTGAAGCTTCAATTTTGCTTAGCCTTATTCAATGGTTACCATGAGCACTACGTTGAAACATGGAGTGCTGGGGGCATTGTGACAGTAAATCCCAATGCTTTCCCGTTATCTTCTTGTTGGCAGTACCTCCCAGTACATTGAAGTCTGGTTACTTTCAGCATTCGCCGTAATGGTTTGTTTACACAGGTATTGGTAGGCATGGCATTGGTAGTGGCAGTGATAGTGACAGTGATAGCGTTAGTTATGGTATGGTAATGTAAGGTGTGGTAACGTTTAACGTTAGCTGATACACGTCCTATGTTACTTATCATGGGGCCCATGCACGTGTGTCCGGCACTCTGAAAAAACGCCTGTCTTAACGCCCATTGTGGGTTCTAAAACCCACAATGTCGAAACAATTTTCACTGATATAAAAACTAGTTAACACGCCACTCGATATCTTACTTAGCCACGCCTAAGACCCGTCTTTTCGCCTTACGGGTGCCCATAACGCTATGATTTGCCATCACCGCCCAGCTTACCGGAGCCGACCGGCGACAGCGGACTGCTGCGGGGCACCTCCACGCCAACAGATGATCACCGCCTTATGCTGTTGCTGGCTATGATCAGCTTCGACGAACCAGGGCCACTCGCGAGTGATCAGTATTGGAAACGATGCGTGTAATTATTTTCGAGTTTATTTACAAAAGACTCCATGATCAGACACGTGTCGCACGCGTAGCTCAATCCACACTGGTATCAAAACAATGCTGTAAATGGTGGAAGGGCCACGACTACGGTATTGACATTTCTCGTTTGTTCCGAACGAGAAGTACTATGACTGACTAAGATTCGGCGCTGAAGATCCCGCCGCTTCAGGCTCTGCCAAGGCACCGCCACCAACGTTAAGGTCGCATGACGTCACACGTGTACCAGGCGCTCCGTCCTGACAAGGAGGCTGGGGTAGATTGAGCCTCCACACCTGGCGAATGCCCGGGCCCAGTTTCCGCTTAAGTTTCGTATTTTTAACGTTTACATGCACGCTACCTATCATAATTTCTGTCCTAAGCGTGGTGGTAATCAGAATGTGGAAGCCACTGGCGCTGGTGACACGATTTTGGAAGGTTTCGGCTGGGACACGACCATGCGTGAACAAGTATCATTACCGTCCTCGTATTTGGCTTCTTTCCATAGCTGCCTTTCAAGGGCTCAAATAACTATCACTGCGTCTACCTAAATCGCAAGCTCATGCGGAGAACAGGGTACACACGTGAAAGGTAAGATCATGCCATAGTCATCAAGACGGTTATCTGTACAAAATCCCCGCATCATAACGGTAGCCTGTCAACGCAACGTCAGCAACAGCATGCCCTTGCATGTAAATAACGAACAGACGCGATTGTCTTTGCAAGACGCAAGATGTTAAGCGCATAGCATTTCAGTAAGACGAAACTTGAACGCCGTCATTGTTAAATGTGGTTGGGCGATAAAGACGTGAAAGCAATGTCTCTCCACCATCTGCATTAAACCAACTACACGCTGTTTCGATAACAACGGTGACCTGTATCGCTCAAACGTTCAGACGGTACCATCCGCACTGAAATGCGGTGACTTATTTTTGTTCAACATTCCCTCCTCTTCTCTCAGTACTGACCGACATAAAAGTGCAACAACGCTGCCACGCGCAATATTGAAAAGCTGCCGCGCAAGAGGCTGGCGTGCCGCGGCTCGCGTTGCGCTAGGCTCGCATAGCAATAACCTTTGACGTGTCTACCAGCAGGAAAACACGTCCGGTGGGACAAGTGGAGACTAGCAAGGAACTCCGCTAGGGTGCTTAAGAAGCGTCTAAGTACACGACGACCGCAGCTTTGAAAAGATTACGGGGCTCGCCGCACTCCGTCAGAGTGGATGCGCACAGATGCCAGCGTTTGTTGGCTTTGAAATATGACTAGGCAAAACTCGACTAGAGTTACGTAAAGCTAGTAAAACAAAAATAAAGCTTTGTGCTCTTCGAGGCTAACATAAAAACGCAGGGCGAGGGGGATGCGGCTAGTAGAGGACATCTTGATCTTGATACCTGGCATCCATCGGTGAATGTGACAACACATAAATAGAAAATACGTATGAACGTCAAACACACTCTATACAAACGTAATTCAATACAAGGAACTCGATGAACTAACTACAGTCAACGCACATGCATGCAAACTTGCCCTGTAAAAGTATCTAAAAAGTGGACAGCCGGCGCGGCTGCATCCTGTCACGATACATTGGCTAGTTGAGCCGGGTCTGTGGTCTGTCGAGACAAACGCACTAGAAATGAGCATTCTGAGCATATAAGGAATTATTCCACAGCCAGTACAGATACTAGAGTACTCAGCAAACATCGAGAGAATAAATGCCCGTCAGAAAATATTTCATTTGCGTCGTTACAAAAATACAGTCACTCGGCTCACGCGCTTTGTCTCATCGTTGACCTCTCTCGGGGTGCGTTATCATCGTTGAGGAATTATTTGGTCCCGACCAGCACATTAGCGATAACATTTGGCGTACGATGCGAGTGTCCGTGATTGTCACGGTTGAATCAGCTGCCTCAAGTTGCGGTGACCGCATGAGATGTGAGAAGCTTTCCGACCCGCCCAAATCACGGCTCGAAGCCCACCCGATCCTCAGGTGGTCGGCCGCCGTATCGATCATGCCGCAGCTTGTCCCGATGCTTGAGGTTTTCATTTGATGAGCTAATAAACACAGCCTCGATGATTTGGCTGGGCAGCTATTCCTGTTGAGCCTTTCCGAATTGTTCGTGCTCTCGTGCGCCAACCACATGAACATTGGCATAGCTCAGCTGGTCATCGCGCTCAAAACACGTATAAAAATATGTACAAAAGACCTCGAGAAAACGCATGGTGGCCAAACGTGTTCTCACACCGCACTCACAACCTGGGTTTTGGCATCGGTGGCCGGTTCGCAACCGGCGGCCGGCGACGGCTTGAAGCCGGCGCGGCCCGGTCGCCGCTCCTTCATGCAGCTCGACTCCTCGTGTTTGTACAGGTAGCTCTTGAGCGCGAAGGCCTTGCCGCACCGCTGGCACACGTGCGGCTTGACGTTCGAGTGGGTCTGCACGTGCGCGCGCAGGTTGGACTTGTCGGCGAACGCCTTGGCGCAGACGGAGCAGCGGAACGGCCGCTCGCCCGTGTGCGTGCGCACGTGGCCCTGCAGTAGCCAGGGGCGCGAGAAGGTCTTGCCGCAGTACGGGCAGCGGCATCCCTGCGTGTGCGTGCGGACGTGCATCGAGTAGGCCGGCATCGAGACGTAGACCTTGTCGCACTCGGGACACTTGCGTGCCTGGTGGAAGGGGGCCGGTGTTAATATGTGAAGTTGGCATCGGACGAGTGACGTCTCTGCGCGTTGCTTCTGAGAGCAGTAAGTGCGAGTAGACATCAGGCGGGGTTGCGGAGAAGAGAAGAAGTGGCAGCAAGGGCAAAGCAGCAGGGGGTAATTCCTGCCTGGCTGCGAAAAAGAGATGGTGACAGGGAAGGAGCTCGAGACGACGCCGCAGTAAGGCAAGAGCGCACGACAGAGTGCAACAGAACCTGGCACTAGGGCTTGACAGAAGAGAGCGGCCATGCGGCTAGCCTCAGTAGTAGTAACACCATTTGATTCTCTACAGACTACAGGCTACGCTTCTCGTGACTTCTACTGGCGCACTTTGCCCTGTGTCATGCTCGTGCCTCGTCCACCCACCTTCTTGTCTGCGGGCAGGCAGTGAAGCTGGCGGTGGCGCGCCAGGTTGGAGGCGGTGCTGTACTTGCGACCGCAGTCGTCGCACGGGTGCTGCGCCGGCTCGGGCTCAGGCCGCGGCTCCAGCACCAGGCGCCGGATCACCGACGTCTGTCTTGCCAGCGGCGTCTGCTCCGGCGAACCGGGCGACGCCGGCGAGCTGCAGACTGAGCTGAGCTGTGGCGGCGAGCTGCAAACTGAGCTGAGCTGCGGCGGCGAGCTACAGACGGAGCTGAGCTGCGGCGGCGAGCTACAGACCGAGCTGCAGACGGGCGGCGCGGTGAAGACGTAGGTGAGCGCCAGCGGAGAGCTGGACACGCAGGCGCGCGGCGGCGGCGGCGGCGAGCCGGCACCGCGCGCCACCCGGGCCGGCGGAGAGGGCGTGCGCTCGGGGCTGGACGGGCGGCGGCGGCGGTGCACGCGCAGGTCGAGCGCCTGCTCGGCGGCCGTGTAGGCGGGCGGCCAGGGCCGGCCGGGCGTGAACGACTCGGTCTGGTCAGCCGGCGATCGCCACAGACGCGCCGAATCTGAAGCACGGGCATGCCGATAGTCAGCAGTTCGCGGCGGGAGTCACATGTTGCAGATTGTCATGAACCTGCTCGATTGTTTATGACAAGCTGTTGTCATGGTTACCGCTGTTTTTACAGGCTTGTATACTTGTTACCCGAGGTTATCTTGGCTTGACTTGACTCTTATAAGGACTTGTATACTTCTTACTGAGGTTATCGGATACAGAAGGGACATCTGTAGGGACGGTTCATGGGCTGAGATCCTGAGGTCAAACGATCAGCTGTCAGTGGGAGATAACAAGACACACAGGTCGTTTTTTAGTTCTGCTGTAGCTCCTGGTTTCGTACATTCTTGGTGTGTTGTTTCAGACTGATTCTACTCTGATGACATTTGCATTTCTAGTTAGGAATTCGCGGTATTTACGGAATGATAATTGATAACTTTGTTGACGCATTCTTGCTTTGGGTTTTGCTTCTTCAAAACATCACATTTTTCTCTGGTCGATTCAGCCACGTCGTGCAAACATATCGATGAGCAGAAGTTAGGCATTCATGCATTTTGGTAGCTCGCAATGCATGTGTATGACGTCGAATGTTTTGACACTATTAGCTATAGAAGAACGACCTTTATCTCGCATTCTATGTACCACGCGACACATTGCGAGTGCTATGCGTGTGTACAAAGCGAACTTCAAGGCGCCGGCATGTTCGGAAGTGGTGTTATCTGTTCACAGTGCATCTGTTCGTGATTTCTTATGCAATATATGAATATAATGTCATAGCTATATACATAAAAGTGTCGACTTCCGGTAGCACACAGGTTCTGCAGCTGTTTATGCTAGTCTTGGTCGTCCAGGTTTCAGCCTGGCGCCACACTGCATGGATCGCTGCGTTTGGCATGCTGCGTCCAATGATAGTGTGAAGTTTCAAGTTTGCAGGTCAGGGGTTCCGCGTAGCTGAAAAGTTTACGGCACGGTCTAGCATGTCCGCCAGCGTTCGCCTTACCCAGGTCACTCTAGGCATCTGGAAAACAGTCCGCATTTCCATGCAGCAGGTACCTCGCATGGTTGCTAAGGTTATAACAACTGTACTCAGGTTAAGCATATGTTCGGTGTCAAGAATGAAGCGAGCTCGTATTTCATACACTTGCTGGCATGTCACTGTTTGTCGCACAACTATTTCTCGTTGTGAGTTACTTCCAGCGGGTCTCGGCATTGGAGAAAGTTTGACAGATGAAAATAAGTCATATCAAGTAGCTTGAAGTCTACCTCCACTGATTGCGAAATATCTTTCAGCAGTCTTCTACTCCCACATTTCAGCGATAGTTTCGGAGTCACGTGGTGTTTCTCTCCTCTTTTCTTCGCGGAGATCAAGGCTTGAGCCAAATAAGCCCCGGTATATTTTCGGACCGCAGGCTCACTGAGTCCACTTATTAAACCCACCACCTGTCCCTCCTGGGAACGAAACGGACTGACTATTCCGAACACACTGACGAAAAGCGGACACCGCTCGCCTCCTCGCAGTCAGACGTGGAAGCCGAACACCGCCGCATCCGAGGGCGTGCGCGCGCGCGCCGAGCCGAGGCATGGCTCCTAGTCGGCGGTGCGGTCCCGATGGACGCCGTGTTCCTCTGCGGCTCGAGGTTTGGGTCGGGCCGACGCGGCTCAGTGTGGGCGGCACGCGGCCCGGCGTCGGGGCGGGTCCCCAGGGTGCCGGCTGGACCCCGTGGGCGGGCTGCTTAAACACTGACGTCAGCGGGTGAGGCGGGCCGGCCAGGGCGGCGGTGACTCAGGACCGGTGAGGCCGACGGCGCCGCGACCGCTCGCCTATCTGCCTCTGACGCCAGTCGTGGCGCCCGCCGGCCGCCGCCGCCGCCGCCGCCGCCCGCCAGCCTCCGGCAGGCGGCCATCCGCCCAGGCCGAACAGCCAGATGGTGCGCGAGAGCGGGGGAGCTCCTGGTGAAGGTCCAGTTAGTCATAAAACTGCTGAAGCTATGTCGTAGCTTGGTAGCGTTTCATAAGGGGCGTATTTGTAGCTAAAAGGGCAGAGGGATCGGTGCCACTAAGCGCGTATGCTCGGTCGCCATGATGCGCCATGAAATTGTGTCAACATGATCCTTTTTTCATGGGTTTATCTTTAGAACAAACTCCTTATTCATTATCAAGCACAAGGGCTGAATTCTTTCACAGGGAGACCACTGCGTCACTGCCCCTCCCCATTCTTGTGGCTGAGCCTATGCCTAGCCTGACACATTGCTGATCGTAAGCCCTGGGGACACAAGCATTCCGAACAATTAATTTTTTCCAAGAGCGCCATGGTGACATGCACGTTGTCATGCTCTTTTCCGACGTTCACATGCATGGCTGTTGTTAATGTGTCGGTGTCAGAAAGTGACTTGCTTTACCGCTCCAGCCCTCCTCGCTGCAAACACCCTGCAACTTCACCGTCACACTGCCTGCAGAGGTGTCAACGGGCAATGATCACATGCAACAGATGTCACTAGAGAGAGATAGGTGATCACAGCCACCGTTGTTGTGGGTGAGCCGGAATGCATCATATCTGCTTGTGTCAATTTTTGCACGCTGCGATCAAAATTAACCACTCTTGGAACGATTACGGCAGCATACAGTTGAACCTAGACTATAATCAACTGCATTGTTGATGTTCATCCACCAACCGCGACGCGCGAGAGCTATGATGCAGACATCACGATGAGCACTGCCACACTGAAGATAACTGTCGTGATGACATACCAACATGCGCACCATAACCACCTGGTGGATGATGGATGGTGGACCATGTCAGTAGCATAGACATGTGATCGTGTGTGCCGTTGGATGACGACTTAAGAGCATCCGGCGTCGCGTTACGCGGGTGATGCTGTGGAGTGTTCGCAAACGGCGGGACTGACAGCTGGCCAGACTCCGGTGCTGTGGCGTGGCTGTGAGCAAGTGAAGCATTCCTCTGTTGAGATGGGTTTCTTGCTCCCTGTTGTGTTTCGGACATGACACTGAAAGGCCTAGTCCTGGGAAAGTGACGGATCGCGTATGGGCCGAGCAGGGGAAAACGTGCTCTCTCTCTCTCTCCTCTTCTCTCTCCTCTCTCTCTCTCTCCTTCTCCTCTCTCCTCTCTCCTCTCTCTTCTCTCTCTCTCCTCCTCTCTCTCCCTCCTCTCCTCTCTCCTCTCTCTCCTCTCTCTCTCTCTCTCCCTCTCCTCTCTCTCTCTCTCCTCTCTCTCTCTCTCTCTCTCTCCTCTCTTCTCTCGCTCTCTCTCTCTCTCTCCTCTCTTCTCTCCTCTCTCTCTCTCTCTCTCTCTCTCTCTCTCTCTCTTCTCTCCGCTCTCTCTCCTCTCTCATCCTCTCTCTCTCTCGCTCTCTCTCTCTCTCCCCTCTTCTCCTCCTCTCTCTCTCTCTCTCTCTCTCTAGCAGCCCTCGGTTTGGTGGGCTAATAACCAGTCGATGCACTTAATCCAGCCTCTTGCGAACCAGGTCCATTATCGCTAGCGTCTCCAGAGCACTTCGCAATCATCAGCTCAAGTCCCAGTACCAGTCATGTGGTGTTCATTTCCACACGCCGAATATTCTCGCCGCACCTGGGGCTTATTTGTCGCCGGGGCAAGCAGTACTCAGTATACGCGTTCGCAGACCAACACTGCTGGCTCCCGATCTGTGGTCCTCTTGTCGGTAAGTATTTTGCTAATGATAACTTAGGAGTTCATAAATCACGCACGGCATTTCCGCACGATGACTCGATTTCGACCGAATGCCCCGTGGGCGGCTTTCCGTTTCATGTGGTGTTGATATCATGATGTACCATTTCCGCTATTTCCACTTAACGAGCTTGAGCCGCAGGTTCTTGTGAATAGCACCATCTGGCAAGGCCTGAAGGCAAAGCTAAGCCTTTTCAAATCCAACCATTACGTACCATTAAGTCGTTTTCTTGTCAATATTGACTTTTCGTTCTTATGTCCATTGGCATTGTCATAAATAACGATGTGTATGATGCATGCATACAATAAGGGTGTTTTGTAATGTATGTTTCAACTGTAGCTGACGGGTGATGCTAAATTGCTTGAATATTATAGCTATGTGATAATTTGAATTGTTTGATTGTATTTCTATATATTTGACTAGTTTGAGTTTGTTGTGCCAAATTGATTGCAACGACAATCCCAAACACCAACGTTCCTGTAAAGCTTTTGGCTGGCATTCGCAAAGCCTGTACTAAATCACTTGACGTTCATCCTCTGAATTAAGCCACCATCTTACCTATACCGCAGAAATACAAAACTAAAACAAATCACCCTGATGACAGATAGCAAACATTGTAATCAACACATATCACGCCGACGTTCCTGGCAGCGGCTTAAATAGGTCGCATCGCGTCTGTAGAGCTAACGCAACGGTAGCAGCCCTCATAGCCCACGTGTGTAGACTCCAGTCGTGCCCACTGTTCGCCGGCATAATGACGACGTATGGGCCTACCAGCGCCTCCGGAAGTGGTCATGGCACGCCTGTGACAGATAACTGCCACTCACGAAGGTTGCAGAAAAATAAACTAGCAAGCGGTCATTAGGCCGGCCGGTCGATGGCGGCCCGGGGCTGGCCCGGCACATCAGCCTTACCCCGCAGCGACGTCATCCATCAGCCCTATCCCACAGCGCGCTCGTCCATCAGCACTGCCACTGCGCAGGGTGCTCGCCCCTCGGGCCGGACCGGACACGCTGCAGACATGCCGGGCCGACAGCTCACATCGGCACCTACACCGCACTGCTGACAGGCAGCCTGTGATTCCGACACGGCTGAGGCTGGGGTATTGGCATATCTTACGGGCTTGCATTGTAGGCATGGTGGATTTGATGATTCCGCATAAATGCGTATGTGGATGGATATGCGATGAATCAATGCGATGAATGGGCAACAATTACCACGCGGAGAAAAGGTGTCAATTACTCGGATGTGACATACCATTCGTAATTTTGTATCCGTCACCTGAAATTTATACAGTGTATGAAATGGCAGTGGTAGATGCTCC